AAAAAAAAAAAAAAAAAAAAAAAAAAAATTAATGCAACCCCAGGCCCCAGAAAACACTTTCATAGGAGTGAGCACCTCCAACCTAGGGCCTGTAGTTTTCCTGAGTGTCCTGGAAAATTCCAGGGGTGCAACATGTTTTCTTATTTGAGGATATAAAGAATCTTCCTTTTCTGGTTGAGGTTGGATATTGGCCCACTTGAATGTCAGCTGAATAACATTATCTGTGAAGAATATTGGCCTTTCCTGTGGCCCCTGCTGGGTTCCCAAACTCTAGCCACGAGGCTGAGCAGCAAAGAATTGGTTCCACGCCAGTGTCAATAAGATTCAGTTTTAACTGCAGTCCAGTCAAATGCCCTGTTTGTAATTAACTATTCTCTGCTGTTTTAGATTTTTTGTGCCCTGTTCTGTTTCACTGGTGTAGACAATTGACAGCAAAGTATCTGACATTAAAGTGGGCTTTCTTTTTTTTTCGTTTGTTTTGAGATGGGGTGTCTCTCTGCTGCCCAGGCTGGAGTGCAGTAGCGCAGTCTCGGCTCATGGCAACCTCCGCCTCCCAGGTTCAAGCAATTCTCCTGCCTCAGCCTCCTGACTAGCTGGGATTACAGGCGCACGCCACCATGCCCAGCTAATTTTTGTATTTTTAGTAGAGATGGAGTTTTGCCATGTTGGTCAGGCTGGTCTCAAACTCCTAACCTTGTGGTCTACCTGCCTTGGCCTCCCAAAGTGCTGGGATTACAGGTGTGAGCCACTGTGCCCGGCCTAAAGCAGGGTTTCTCAACAGTGGCACTATTGACAGGTGGGCCAGATAGTGTTTTATGAACATATTGTGGGGAGCTGTCCTGAGCTTCATACGGTGCTTTCGGTGGTATCCCTGACTCTACTCACTAGATGCCAATAGCACCCCACCCTCGATTGTGACAACCAAAAATGTCTATAGATATGACCAAATGTCTCCTGGGGAGCAAAATCGTCCCCAGTTACATGAAAGCGACTTAGAACACTAGAACTGGACTCTGCTGAACTGGCCCAGGCCCCTCAGTTCAGATCTAAGGCAGTGGAGGACCAAACAGATAGTGTCTGCTGGAGGGTCACACAGCAAGAACACAGCAGCCCCGGATTTCAGCCAAGGTTTTCATTCCAGTTACTGCCTTGGTCTTTGAGATCAAACCCAAGAATGGGGAGCCCTGACCTTCACCCCCACTGTTTTCAGGAGAGAACAGCTGATCTGTGATTCTCTATCCTATGACTCACTTCCTGCCACCCCCAACTCCTTGCACCCTCTCCCCAGGGACCTCTACTCACGGTTTTCTGAATGGAAATCAGGAACAAACTGCTCATCACTGTCTGGTACCTGAGCTGCAGAGAGAGATCAGAGGTGAGTTTGGGGTGGGGCCCTGGTGGGCTCCTGGGAGGCTCCATTATTGCAGCTCTGCAGATTAGCAACAGTCAAGAAAGGACCAACAGCCTTTAGACCGGGGTGTCCACATTTTAAGAATTGTCTTGGGCCACACATAAAATACACAAATACACTAACACTAACGATATCTGATGAACTTTAAAAAAAAATCACAAACAAATCTTATAATGTTTTAAGAAAGTTTATGAGGAATTAGTGTTGGGCCTGGGCTGCATGTGGCCTGCAGGCCCACGGGTTGGACAAGCTTGCTTAAAATTAAAGGTAGCGACACCCTAGGTCCTAGTGCCCTCTAGCTCTGGGCTCCACTAAGACTCAGGAGGGAAGACTGTTCCCAGAACCTGTAGAAGCAGATTCCAGTCTTTCTTTTTCTAGATGCTTTGTCTTTACTCCATTTTTCTGAAGTGGAACAGACTTGCCTGTCAAAATTTACAAAACTCCCTCAAAGCTCACAGCAGTCATATCTGGGATGGGCAGACAGTGGGATCCTGTGGATTTAAAATCACACAGGAGGTGGGCGGGTGCTGTGGCTCACGCCTATAATCCCAGCACTTTGGGAGGCCGAAGCAGGTGGATCACCTGAGGTCCAGAGTTAGAGACCAGCCTGGCCAAACTGGCAAAACCCTGCCTCTGCTGAAAATACAAAAATTAGCTGGGCGTGGTGGCAGGCATATATAATCCCAGCTACTCAGGAGGCTGAGACAGGAGAATCACATGAACTCAGGAGGTGGAAGTTGCAATGAGCTGAGATGGCGCCAATGCACTCCAGCCTGGGCAACGGGAGTGAAACTCTTTCTCAAAAGAAAAATTAAATAAAATAAATAAAATCACATGGGGGGTGGCTGGGTGCAGTGGCTCACACCTGTAATCCCAGCACTTTGGGAGGCTGAGGCAGGAGAATCACTTGAACCTGGGAGGTGGAGGTTGCAGTGAGCCGAGATTATGTCACTGCCACTCCAACAAAGTAAGACTGTGTCTAAAAATAATTAAAAATAACAGGCCGGGCGCGGTGGCTCATGCTTGTAATCCCAGCACTTTGGGAGGCCGAGGCGGGTGGATCACAAGGTCAAGAGATCGAGACCATCCTGGTCAACATGGTGAAACCCCGTCTCTACTAAAAATACAAAAAATTAGCTGGGCATGGTGGCACATGCCTGTAATCCCAGCTACTCAGGAGGTTGAGGCAGGAGAATTGCCTGAACCCAGGAGGCGGAGGTTGCAGTGAGCTGATACCATGCCACTGCACTCCAGCCTGGGTGACAGAGCGAGACTCCATCTCAAAAATATAAAATAAAACAAAATAGAAAAGGAGGATGACAGTGGGAGAGCAGGAGGCTGGCGACTGGGACCACTGCAGAAGGCAAAGGACACTGGCTGAGCACCTAGGTGCCTCATCCCTTTAATATGCAGCTAAGGGGAGGGATTCCCAAGGTTGGAGGTCTGAGGAGCTCTCCCAGGATGCCAGAATGGGTGGAGCTAGGTTTGGGAATAGGCAGGAAAACTGAAATACAGCAGCAGCTCATCCAAGGCTTCTAACCGGGACAGCAAACTCTGATTTCTAGTTCTTATCCTGGCCTCCCCAGAGGGGAGCTTCCCAGGTGGCTATACAGCTAAGTGTCTCCCTTGATCCCAGTCTTTGCCCACTTTTGCCCCTCTCTCAAAAATAAAGGGATCACATCAGGAAGTGTAGACATCAAGAACTTCCTGACATTCCAGAGAGTGGGTCTAGGTGATGCGGTGGAACCTGTAGCCTGATGAGGCTGGACTCTCCTTCCCTGGAGACTGCTCTCAGATTGGACAATGGGGAAACTGATAAAATGCCCAGAGAGGTCAGAATGGCTGGTGAGGGGGGTAGGATGGCTAGAGAAAACCTCCACAGGCCCGGCCTACACAAATACACATCCCATCCCTTCTGCTTCCCTCTAGGCTAAGGTTGCATCGTTTCTTACTTGGATTTCAGCCACAGCCTCTTATTAGAATACCCTACTCTTACCTCCTATAGTCCCTTGCTCTCCACCTAGCTGCCAAGGTGACCTTTTTACAACAAAAACGGAATCATTTCTCTCTTATTTAAAGCATGGAATCCAAATGCTTGCCCTTGGCCTCCAAGGCTCTGCATGACTTGGTCTTGCCCACCTCTGACTTGCCTCTCCCTGCCTGGGTCTGCAGCACTCTGGTCTCCTTTCCAGCTTCAAACCTGCTGAGCTTGTTCCTTCTTCCTCAGATACTTTCCTGCCTTCCTCTTTTTTTCCTGGCCATCAGAGTCTCAGCTCACTTTGACATCTCTGCAGAGGCCTTCTCTGACCACCTCTAAACCAGGGTGGTTCCTCCTGGCTCTCTATTGAGCCTCTGTTTTGTTTTCTACCTGGCACATACTGCCACCTGAACTTATTAATTTATGTTTACCCGTTTATTATCTATCTATCTATCTATCTATCTATCTATCTATCTATCTATCTATCAAACAATCATCTATCTCCTCCACCAGGAAGTTAAGCTCTATGAGGGCAAGAGATTTATCTCTTGTCATCTGATTCCCCAACACCCAGCACAGGTCAGAGTAGGCAGCACGTTAGAGAGACACTCGCTGCATTATTTCTTGACTGTGTGAATAAACAGGCAATAACCGTTTGTCCTCAGGCTGGGAGGAGTCAGTACTGTGGGCCTGGGGACATGCACTGAAGAGATCCTGACCATCCTAGCCCTTCCCTGGAGGCTCCCCCTCTCCACACACAAGGCAACACTAGAGAGGGGCAGGTCCTCTCTAGGAAAGCACATCTCCCAGGGGATACTTTAGGTTGTGATACGTCGCTTGGCAAGGATATTCTTCAACAACTTGCTTTAAATATTGGAGATGTCAAGTGTTTATAAACATAGGCTTGTATTAATAGATAGTTGATTTCTTGACAGAAGGATTAGGGAGAGGGAGTTTAAGAATTGGGAGCCACCAGCAGCTAGAGGAGAAGTGAGGACAAGTCAACATAATAACACTTTGGCCTAAAGTGCCCAAAGAAATCAATGAGACCTGAAATCCAGTGGCAAGAACAAACAGAAACACACAGGTGGCATACATCTTTTCAGGAACACAAACATGGCAAAAAGTCAGCCATTCCCAAACTGGCCTGATTCAGGAGTCACCAGAGCATAGTTAAAAACACGATTCCGGCAGGGCATGGTGGCTCAAGCCTGTAATCACAACATTTTGGGAAGCCAAGGCAGGCAGATCATCTGAGGTCTGGAGTTCCTGGCCAACATGCCAAAACTGCATCTCTACTAAAAATATAAAAATTAGCCAGGCAAGGTGGCACATGCCTGTAATCCCAGCTACTTGGGAGGCTGAGGTAGGAGAATCACTTGAACCTGGGAGGCAGAGGTTGCAATGAGCCGAGATCACGCCACTGCACTCCAGCCTGGGCAACAGAGTGAGACCCTGTCTCAAAAAATAATAATAGGGCTGGGCACGGTGTCTCATGCCTGTAATCCCAGCACTTTAGGAGGCCGAGGTGGGTGGATCACAAGGTCAGGAGATGGAGACCATCCTGGCCAACATGATGAAACCCCATCTCTACTTAAAAATACAAAAAATTAGCTGGGCATGGTGGCACATGCTTGTAATCCCAGCTACTAGGGAGGCTGAGGTAGGAGAATCACTTGAACCCAGGGGGCGGAGGTTTCAGTGAGCTGAGATCACACCATTGCACTTCCAGCCTGGGCAACAAGAGCGAAACTCCATCTTAAAATAAATAAATAAACAAATAAATAAAATAAAATAAAAACATGATTCCCAATCCTTTCCTGGGAGAGTTCCATTCCATAGGACTGAGGTGGGACCCAGCCATCTGCATTTTAAAATCTATTTATTGGTAGGGCACAGTGGCTCAAACCTGTAATCAAAGCACTTTGGGAAGGCCGACTCCTGTGGATCACCTGAGGTCAGGAGTTCAAGACCAGCCTGGCCAACATGGTGAAAACCCATCTCTATTAAAAAAAAAAAAATACAAAAATTAGCCAGGCATGGTGGCAGGCACCTGTAATCCCAGCTACTCAGGAGGCTGAGGCAGGAAAATTGCTTGAACCCAGGAGGCAGAGGTTTCAGTGAGCCTAGATCGTGCCATTGCACTCAAGCCTGGGCGACAGAGCCAGACTCTGTCTCAAAAAAAAAAAAAAAATCTGTCTATTATGAGAAAGTCTCCTCTGTCACTCAGGCTGGAGTGCAGTGGCACAATCACAGCTCACTGCAGCCTCGAGGTTCTGGGCTCAAGTAATCCTCCCACTTCAGCCACCACAACCTTAAAAATAGGCACATTTGGACAGAGGGTAGGAGGCCAAATCTGACCACCTGCCCAGGGATGCAAAGCCCAGGCTCATTCCCGCTGTGCCCTCTGGTCCACTCAGAGGCAACATCCCCCAAGGCGGCAGGAAGTGAGGGTGACTGGAGCAGAGTGACCAACATTTCCCTCCTTCCTACTAGGCAAGAAAGGTCCCAAGGGAAAGGGTGGTGCAGAACTCAGGGGTGGCTGACGCACTCCGGGGGGCCCCCCCCGGCTTCATGAACTGCCACTTTCCATTGAGGTAATGGGCTGGGGGTATCTCCTGCTGGCGTCACTGGCGCTGGAGAGCAGAGAGCCCTTGGCATCATCCTGCCTTTCTTCCTGCCTCGTGCCTGACAGTTTAACCAGAGACCCCCGCAGCCCAGCAGTCCAGGAGGAGGCCTCCTCAAGCACACAGACCACACCTCAAAAGAGGTGGCGCCATCCTCTTCCCAGAGCCAGGAGAAATCTGTCCTTGCTCGGCTCCTCCCCCAAACACTGGCCTTCTCCCAAAGGGGGTAGGCCAGTGCCCTCAGTCATCCAGAGACTGTCAACAGGATAGAAATAGGAACAGCGAGCCTCGCGTTCCTGGAGAGCAGGAGAATTTTTAATTACCATGTTTGGTCTTGAGTGTACACCACTCTATTTATTTGTTAACTTGGCTGAGTTTTGGCTGCCATGACACCGTGTGCCAGAGTCTGTCCCCAGCTCCATCCTGGCACTAAGATGGAGTTTATCTGTCTGAGGACGAGGCAGATGACTACGGAGGGGGTGGGAAAAGTGCCAAGACAGCAGAATGCCTAGAGAGAGAGAATTTTAGGGACTCTCCTGTCAAAATGGGGGTCGGTTAAAAAAAGAGGAGGGGTTCTGGGGCCTCCCAAACTGGATTCTGGAAGAACTGGGAGGTTAACACAGAGACAAACTGAAGCCTACCATACGTTAGACACCCACACCACATATACCCCGTCGCCCTCTGCCCAGGGTCCAGTTGTAGTGTGAAGGGGATAGACGCATTCTCCAGAGCTTCTGCTCCATTGTGTCACTGCTGTCCCTTACCCTGCCCCCACCCTGGCAGCCTCTGTACTGGAAGGAACCAGTTGTCTAGTTGTGGAGGGGACATATTTGTCCCCAGCAGTCTTCTGGAAGGGGAAGAGACAGAAAGAGGGAGAAGGAGGCATTGTAGCTGGTAAAGACTCGGGAGGGGATTTCTCTCCCCACAGACATGCTGAAGCACCAGTGTACACGCACATGGACACGCATTCAGGGATGCACACACCCTAATTCCTTTCACTTCACTCTTGCGGCAGCGCGACAGCACAGGGTGAAATGTGCCCTCCATGCATGCCCTCTATGCACACCTCCGCACATGGGATCTTTTTTTGGAGCTACAAATATGATTGGGAAAGCCAAAGGGCAAGGGGATTGGAGCCCTTGGAAGAGGGTTGGGGAGTAGTGATTCCAGTGAAAAAGGGAGTGCAGATTGATCCCTTTGAGAATCTGATAAAAGCTACGGGTCATTCTCTTCCTAAAAAAATCCATACACCTTTGTGTATGGTGCACTTCCAGCAATTTTACACGCAGTATCAGGGAGATCAAGGGTCCCTGCAACCCATCCCCAGGGCTCTGGCAACCCACAGACCCCAGCCTCACACAAAGAAGTCATGGCCTAGAGTCAATGGCCCTTACTACCAAATAGACAACGAAGTCATTGTCCCCAAGGTTTCAGGGCTCCTGACAAGCCTGGAAAGGAACCTTCACCAGCAACCAGCACAGCTTTTATCATAGCCAGATACATTTTGGGCTCAGCCTGCCTGAGCCTGGGTCTCACTGTAACAGCCTGATTCTTTCCCCAACATCTCAACAGACCCCAGGCACCCCCAAATCAGACACGCCCTCCTAGCCTCACATCATTCCCCTCTGTCTACAAAAACTCAACCTCAAATAAAGTGAGCTGCCTCCATAAAGCCCTACTTACACTCACCCTTCAACGCCCGGACACAGGACAGCGAACCGGCAACCACATCGGAATCTCCCTATACCTGCCCAGCTCCAACCTGTACATCCTCCAAATGCTAAGTCTTTGCAGCCCCCCCACACTAGACCCCCTTGCTGCTTCTCTCCAAATTGGGGCTTTGGAAGAAACCAAGCTGAGAGAGGGAGGTTGGGCTCTGGTCCCCCATTCCTCCTAATGCGTCCCACCACTGGCAAGTTTCCAAAGGAGCTAGTCCCTCCCTGCCACCCCAAAGCTCCCCATGGGTTGCCGGGGTCACTGACCTGGTGGGAAGAGGCAGGAGAGGAGGTTGGGGTGGTGCTGGGATGGCGCAGGGGGACAGGGCCCCGGCAGCTGCATCTGTCTCCGCAGAGAAAGTGAGAAGAAGCGATCGGCCTCAGCATCCCCCCCTCAGGCCTGGCCATCCATCGCCAGCTGGGAACCTGAGCTGCTCCCTCAGAAGGAAGGAGAGGGAACCAAGGAGATCCCAGCGCCCACCCCCCCTCCTCCTTGCAATCCCCACCCCCACCTCCCCACCCACTGGATTTAAATGTACAGGGCAGCAGCCTGTAACTAACACACACACACACACACACACACACACACTTTTTTTCTCACACACACACATTTTTTCTCACACACACACACTCACACACTTGCTGTCACAGTGACACTGACACAGACAGACATGCGTACCCTCTCCAGACCCCCGGCCAAGGGATAGAGAGATGAGAGCTTTCTCCTCCCCCTCCCATCTCAAACCCGGGCACAGATGGACCAGCGCTGCCAAAATGCCAACCTCAGCCCACCCCTAGCTCACAGCCCCAGGAGCTGCCCACTGTGGGGACTCTCAGCTGACAGGCAAGGAATGAAGCCGGTGAGCCAGAGAGAAATCAGGCGCTGGGAAAGGAAGTCTTTGAGAGCCCATGGAAACTGACACCTCTGCGCTCAGCTTTAGCCCAGCTCCGGAACCTCGGGAGGAGGATGCGGAGATGGGGCAAAGCTCTGCCTGTAAATTGGAGCTGGGCACGCAGGACTTGCAAGGTCGGGAAGACGCACACAATACCCCCAGATCCCTCCAGCACTCACACTGCCATTCAGCCATTAATTCCACAAAATGTCTTGAGTGCTTGCTCTATGCTAAATAGTCATTCTGTCGACATATATTTTTGTAGAATACCGTAGTGGGCAAGACAGACCTAGTCTTACTCCAAGGATCTAGTCAGGAGTCATTTTCCTTTTACTCTAAGCTTCTACGGAGAGTTCCAGGGCAGTTGGATTTGAGCTTTAAAAAAATTACCAAAGAAAGATGCCAGGGTGGAGGGATGAGGAGACCCTAAGGAAAAGACCTCAAAAAGGAGTTCTTAGTGTTTTGGCTTCTTCATTTTCATAGCGTTAAAATAAAGGAACCCTAAGATGGGGCTACTAACCCTTTGCTCTCAGAGGCTGTCTAAACCACCATTTTCCCTCCCACCTGCAGCCCCACCAGCGACACCCTCAGGCCCCACCAAAATGCACGGATGAATCCAACCAGGAAACCTCTCAAACACACCACTTCCCCATCAGGCCTAGCCACGGACCCCACCCCAGCCAGCTCTCAGCTGACTCCCCAGCACACAGGAAGGGGAATTTGCCTGGGGGCGGAGGTATTCAAGTGGGATGGAGGAGGGAGGTACACTTGCTATTAGAATTACAATCAAGGCTATTTGGGGAGGGAGCCCAGGGCCCTGGGTGCTGAAGGACTGCCGAAAAGAATTATTTAAACTTTTGTTGTGCGTTTGGCTTGGACAGTAAATTGTTTGGTGCTAGGATTGGGAAGAAGAGAAACTCACGGGATAAGAATCAATGCTTTGGCAACTCCGAAGGATAGGTGACCAATTAATTGTTCCTCCCCCCCACAATGACACCCCAACACGCACCTTGGCCTGGTGGCTTCTGCAAAACAAACTTTGCAAATGAAAATTTCAACCAGGAAAATGGGCCTGGGGCCAAGTTCCATTCAAATAAGCAAATACCCCACACAATGGTCTGATTCATCCTCAAGCCTAGTTACACAAGCCTGGCTCAGGATAGAGAAAATAAATATCAATATAAGTGTCCACACCGGGCTCTGGGGTGAGTAGAGTGGCAAGGAACCTGGGGAGAGAGGGCCTTGGAGGCAGGGAAGGGAGAGGAGAAGTGTAGGGCTAGGGTGGAGTAACAGGGGCTACAGGGGGTGTTCCCCTCTCCAGACCCCCAGAATAGAAAAGGTCACAAAACTACTCACCTTCAGCGAGCCACGTCTCCTGGAAGTGACTTAGATCCTGGAAGAGATCTGAGGGGTAAATAGTGGAATTGGAGGTGAGGTGGAGGGGACGGTAAGAAAGAAAGAACCCTAGCAAGCCCCGGTGAACCGCCCCCCGCGCCCCGCCTTGTGAGTAGGGACCAAGAATAATGACCAGGTTCCCTTGGAGGGCGAGTTTTTTGGGGAAACAGGCGGGGGGTTCCAGGATCGGCCGGTGTGTGTGTGTGTGTGTGTGTGTGTGTGTGTGTATGTGTGTGTAGGACGGTCGCGGTTTGTGTCTTTTGCTCTTTACCTTCGGAGTCGGAGGGAGGCAGGGAGCCCGGGTCCATGAGCTTCCCCTGCGGGACCATCAGCGTTTCACGCAGGCTCCCATTTCCGGGCGATTTCTGAGAGAAGGGGAGAATGCCCCCAAGTCACCCCGAGGCGCCTAGTCTGGGGGACGAGGTTGGGGTCCCCGGGTGGCTCAGGGGCGGGGCAGCCCAGGACTCCTCTGGGACGGCGGGGAGGAGGGCTGTGGTGAGAGTAGGGGCTGGGTGCGGGGCGGGGCGGGCGTGGAGGCCGGCGCGGCGCTCACGCTGCTGAAGGTGTAGGGCACTTGCTGGTCCAAGTATCCGCCTTTCATCCTCCGCTCCATCCGGCCGCTCCCTCCGGCCGCAAGGCCGGGGCCCCTAGCGGGGGCCGAGACCTGGGGGGGAGGGGACTGCGTTCGCACACCGTCCAGGGAGGGCTGCGATGGCGGGGAGGGGTGGCGGGAGGGGGCAGTCCCGAGGCTCTGAGTCCGACAGCGAAACTTCTCCGACTCACTGGGGCGATGGGGAGGTTTCCGCCTGCCAGGCCGAGCGCCACCACCACTCCCCTCCCGCCAAAGGCCAAAGGAGGTCCCACCTGCTCCTGGGAGCCGGGCTCGCCGTTTCTGCTTTCTGGAGCCCTGCTCTACCCGGGCCCGGTTACATAAGACGTGTGTGTGTGTGTGTGTGTGTGTGCGCGCGCGTGTGTGTGTGTGTGCGTGTGTGTGTGTGCGCGCGCGCGCACGAGCACGGAGGAGCAGGAGAGGCGCACACCATCGCATGCCCACAACTCCCGCGCCCCCTCCAACCCCGAATCCCAGCGCCTCCCACCCCCGCCCTGGAATCTGCGGAGGCGGGCGGTGAGAGTAAGTGTGGTGTGCGTGGGAGGCGAGGCGGGGAATCGCAGACACTCTCCCTCCCTCTCCCTCCCGCAGCCTCACCTGAGGCCGGGGCGTCTGGGCTGGAGCCGTGAAGGGTTCCGAGCATGCCCTGGGGCCAGCACCGAGTGCCGCGGGGCTAGGCCGGAGCAAGGCGGCCCCTGCCTCGGGTCCCCAGCGCACCGACTTGTTTTTCGGGCGCCGCAGACAGTTGTGAGTCCGGGGGAGCAGCTGATTGGTGCATTTCCTTTGCTCGGCCTCGGCTCTCTCTCCCCCAACCCGGTTCCCTTTGTTTCATTGACTTTTGTGAATGGAACCCCGGGGCTGGGCACGCCCGCCAATCCGGAGAGTCGCCCGGCCTAGCCAGGGGGCGGAGTTTCCCAGCCGCGGGGGCCAATCAGAATGTAGGGGTTGGCTCCCGGCTTCATTCACTGCGCCAGCTCCCATTCATAAAAAATAAACTCCCGGCCGGAGTTCATTCATAAGAACCGAGAGAAAAGGAGAGAAGCCGAGGAGCCAGCGGCTTCTCCACGGTCTCCGCCACGACCTTGGGTCTGAGGCGCCGCGAACTCCTCCGGCTGGCGTCTGCACACGTCCCTGCATCTGCGTGTACATGTTTGTGTGCGCCCAGGGGGGAGGCGACAGGGCTTGTGTGCCCAGAGGAACAATAATAACTAGCATTTATGAAGCGCTCCGCTTCCACGTGCTCATTTCGTTCCCATAAACCGACGAATTGGATAGTTTGTATCTTACAGATACTAAAAATGAAAGCTCAGAAAGAGATGGTAACTCGCTTGAGGTAACTCAGCTAGTCAGCACTTCAGGGATTTAGTACCTCACACTCTCCTGTAGAGCCCTCTGAAGCCATGATTAAATGAGTTAAGCTATGTGACAGCTGATACATAGCAGGTGATCAATAAATGTAAACTGGCACAGAATCCAGGCTTGTCCTCAAAGGCCTGTTCTCTGCAGATCTGTTTTGTGACCCACTTTCTATTGATTGCAGCAGAAACTAGAGGCCTCAGGGTAGATGATTTCTGAAAGTGTAGCTCCCTCTCAGCCATCTTCCCTCTTAACTGACAGCAGCAAAAGGAGCAGGAGCAAAAACCCCAAAGGCTCTGATGATCTGGGGGCAGGATGGTTTTCAGTTTTGGCTCAGAAGCTGGTTGAAGTTTCTGTCATCTCATCCATTCACCACTTCTTTCAATAAACATTTATTGTGTCAGATACAGTGCTAGGTGCCAGGCAAGCAGCTATGAACAAGACAGACATCTGAGGGGAGCTGGGCTATTTGGCCTGTGGCCATAGGGCACACAGGACATGAATCCTCAAAAGCCTTTTTTCTGAGACAATTCTCTGTCTCTTCAGTCTATGTACTCCTTTGAGGACAGCCTGATTTTGGGTCCTGCCTGTTTGTGATAAACACAAAATAATGTTCAAACACCAGGCCAGTAGCAGTAGCTTCCCAAATTCATCTAACTTAACACCCACCACTTTACAGATGAGGCAGTGGAGTTTCAGAGAAGGAAATGACACATATAAGCATCTTTGTGCCTATCTGGCCAGAACTGGGGCTAAAACAAAAAATTGCTGTTTAGGGCTCATTCCATGAGATCAGCTTGGGCAAATGAAAATAAACTTCCCTTTCTTCTCTGCCGTAATATTCTTTTTTTTTTTTTTAGACGAAGTTTTAGTCTTTTGATCTCAGCTCACTGCAACCTCCCCCTCCCGGGTTCAAGCAATTCTCCTGCCTCAGCATCCCGGGTAGCCACTACGCCCAGCTAATTTTGTATTTTTCAGTAGAGACAGAGTTTTTCCATGTTGGTCAGGCTGGTCTCGAACTCTGAACCTCAGATGATCCGCCCCTCCTCAGCCTCCCACAGTGCTGGGATTACAGGCACGAGCCACTGTGCCCACCTCTGCTGTAATATTCTATAAGGCTCATATCTATTGTCCCTTTCCTCCAGGAAGCCTTCCATGATAGCCTGAATCAGTTCCTTTAGCCCCACACAACATTCTTGACTATATCTCTGGCATGGATATTTTTTACTCTGCCTCATGATATAGACAACCTTATGTACGGAGAGCTCTCCAGAGCTCATTTGCCTCTGTAAGTCCTCCTCAGCCTGTTTTCATGCTTATGAGGGTGGCATGAAATGCTTGTGTAGCGAATAGGTACAATACAGACCAAACTAATTGAGCTTAGCAGGAATCCTGCCCAAGGAAGAAGAGACAAGCCCAAGCAAATCCCAGCTTTGCGCTGGATGGAACCAGTTTAGAGAAGAGCGTGAGTTCTGGCCAAGAGAAGTGGGGAGGAGGACAGGGTTCTTCCTGAAGGCAGCTCCGATGTGGTCTCCATGACAATGAAGAAGAGTCCAGTGGGTCTTTAAGTTGGTACTGGGCACTTCGGTGGCGTGGGGCCTGTCTAGGGGTTCCAGTGTCCCTCCAGCTCTGAGTTTTTGTTTGTTTTGTTTTGCTTTTGACAGAGTTTCACTCTTGTTGCTCAGGCTGGAATGCAGTGGCTCCATCTCGGCTCACTGCAATCTCCACCTCCCATGTTCAAGCAATTCTCCTGCCTCAGCCTCCCAAGTAGCTGGGATTACAAGTGCCTGCCACCAGCCCTGGCTAATTTTTTGTATGTTTAGTAGAGACGGGGTTTCACTATGTTGGTCAGCCCGGTCTTGAACTCCTGACCTCAGGTGATCCACCTGCCTTGGCCCCCAAAGTGCTGGGTTTACAGGCGTGAGACACTGCGCCCGGCCTTTTTTGTGTTTTTTTGAGAAACAAGAGGGTCTCCCTGTGTTACCCAGGTTGGAGTGCAGTGGTGCCATCATAGTTCACTGTAGCCTCGAACTCTTGGCTTCAAGCAATCCTCCCACCTCAGCCTCCCAAGCAGCTGGGACTACAGGCATGCACTATCATGCCTGGCTAGTGTGTGTGTGTGTGTGTGTGTGTGTGTGTGTGTGTGTCTGTTGTGGTTTTTATAGAGACAGGGTCTCACTATGTTGCCTAGGCTGCTGGTTCTGAGTTCTTATATTCTGGAGGGCCCCTGTCTCCCTGGTGAGTAAGTGCCCCTGCCCCATTCCCAATCCTCCCCAGCCCTGGCAGAGGCCGAGGAGCCTTCCTCCTTCATGCTAAGAGAAGATACTGTTGCTGTCACTGACCTCTGATTGAATGTCCAGGCTCAGAGCAGTGATATTTCCAAGGGGAACATTTGCCTCTTACACCACTGGAAGTAGTTGGGGAGGAGGGAATAGAGGAGCTGGAGGTTTCTGTTGGGAATCACATCACAATAACCAACAAGTACCGAGCCATGCCCTGCTGTAAGTGCATGACCTGCATTAACCCATGCAGCCTCACAATGAGCCTGTGAGGTAAGTATTAGGATTGTCATTCCCATTTTACAGATGAGAAAACAGAGCCCTCACAAATACACATCTACCCTAAGGGCACCCACAACAGACTCAGACTGAGGACACCCCAAACAGACTCACAGACATGCAGACACTTTGAAGGTGCATCAACGGCCAGATGGAGGCCACACCTGAGCCAGATACATACATGGACCTTCTTGGATGCAGGATGCTCACAGTCCCCTCCTGGACACACAGCTTCGTGGACACATGCAGCATACTCCCTGACACCCTCCTACACATTTTTGATGGGGGTTGCACAGATGAATGCTTCTTTCCCCACTAGTAGATTGTGGGTGCTGAACTCTGACCTGTTTCCCAGGAGCCTAAGTTATACAATGTAAATGTGGGGTTTTTATATGCAAATGTTCATGTAAAGGCAGGCTATGGCTTGCTCTGGAGGCTGGAAGATCAGAGCACTGTGATGAGTAGGAAGAGAAACCTGTTGGATTCACCTGGATCAGACATCAGGATGGGTCAGGAGCCATCAGAGAAGCAGGCTTTCCCCAGGGCAGGTTTCAGAGAATGAGCCGAGGGCTGGATTGGGTTCTCTGGGTTAGGTTAGCTGGGGACATCCTGTGGGTGACCTGTGCCATGTGACTGTGAGAGGAGGATGGAATTATCTTCAAGGCCTGGCTTCCTCATGGTCTGGAAGAGCTGAGTTTCAGTGCCTTAAAGGGTGGAACCCATTGGGGTAGCCTTGTGAGACAGCTCTGCAAGAACAGATGGATGAGATAAATAGAGTCAAGTAATGTCCTGTGTCCCTTTAGTATCTCCCAGACTGGAAACACTAGAGGAATGAACCAGACAGGGGTCTGGTGGTAGGGATGGAAGAGGGGGAGCCTGGGGTTCTCCCCATGGGCTGGTGGGTCAGGATGATCAAAAAGCACCACTCTCTGACTTCCTTTTGTCTTGTGTCACTGTCCCCCTTTCACATTGCTTCCTCTAAACTGCAGGGCTTCTGAATGATGGGTGCATGGATATGTACTCCCGAAATTAACAGCCTGCGCCAAGATGCCTGGTGCCCATTTTTCTTTTATTTATTTATTATTTTTTAAATTTTTTTCCAGTTGTTAAACTATCCTTTATTGAAATATTTTCCTTTGTGCCTCTTAACTAGCTGGGCATTCCACAGCACCACTGCTGATGTCATCTATGATGTCATGAGGGTGGCAGCCATCAACATTACAGCCCACAGACTGGGCAGTCCCCCAGATTTCTTTGTGATTCCAGAAAGTTCTCTGGCTAAAGATAGGTGCTATATCTGTTGAACAATGTTGACAATCTCATTGAAAGTGATATTCCTGCTCTGTTTAATGTTTTTCTGTTTCTTTCTGTCTCTTGCTGGTTCCTTGAGGGCTTTGATGATCAGGGCAGAGGCAGAAGGCACCACCTCAATCTGGGCCTGTCTGTTCTGAAAGGTCAGTTTTACCGTAATCCTCAGGCCCTTCCAGTCACCCGTTGCCTTGGCAATGTCATCACCTACGTTTTTTGGAGACAGACCCAGGGGGCCGATCTTGGGGGCCAGCACAGAAGTGGCAACGACTTCACCTCTGGTGCAGCTCAGGTATACGACTTTGATCTCCTTGGGGTTGAACTTCAGCGGCGTGGTGGAGGTGGCTGCTGTGGGATGAACCCAGATTTGGGATGACCTAAGAAAGTTGCACCTTGGCCTCCTCCGAGCCGAAAGCCATTTATTGATTCATTTATTAAAGACGGGGTTTCACCATGTTGATCAGGCTGGTCTTGAACTCTCGACCTCGGGTAATCCATCCGCCTTAGCCTCCAAAGTGCTTGGATTACAGACATGAGCCACCACGCCCAGCCTATTTATTTTTTAATGTTATAAAACTAA